TACAGCTCATTCGTGGTTAAAGTGGCAAGTTGAGCGTATATCCGGTTGGGCAGGTAATACATGACCACCATATAGATTGCTGCAGACAAGAAGTTTAAATTTATCTGCAGCACCCAGAGATAATAAAAAAATTAGAATATGAGCGGAATGAAGACACCAACATAGTTGATCAGAACAAGAAACTCCGACAGGTACATGAGTTTTCTCGCTTCTAGCACATACTGAAACGAAGTTGACGATAACTGCTGGGAGGCACGTTTTGGAGCCGATCTCACGTGTTCTGGCGCGGGTTCAATGCGAGCGCCAGCTGAGAGCTGCATCTGTAATGTACCTCGGAATTCAAATTTAAGATCGTGGTCCCCCACAACAAGGCCACCAGCGGCGTCATTAGATTCCGCTAGAACGTCATCGTCTTGCATCGTGGAGTTGTTGATGTTGGCGGCGGATCGAACTCGAATACTAGAAATGCTCCTCCTTTGCTTGACCTTAGTACCCGTTCGCGCAGTAGCGTTTCTGCTTTTTTGAAATGCACCCAATTCTCTAGAACCAACACTTGACTTAATGATCAAGTATCGTGGATCTCCATAATGGCGTTCTTCTCCAAGCTGCCGCGCTATCCGCTCTATTCGATATGTTGCCTCATAAACATCTCGAAGTAACAGCGCCAGCTGCACCAATAAAGCTGCGGTGTTGGTTCCAAATGATGGCGAGTTCTGCATACAGTACGAAATGAAGATTGCGTTGTAAATCTCGATGTTGAATGTGATAACTTCAAATACCTCGTCACTCAAGTGAACCACAGTTCGCCCGAAAATATTCCTCATGGCCAGTTTGGTCATAGGCAGGAGCATCGAAAAAGCAGTCTGACCATTTGGAGAAAGGGTGGTGAAGATGAAATAGTACGGAGGGTAAATGAAGACCACGACTTGACACATCCAGAGCTTAATGACGTTTATCAACATTGCCCATGCGCCAGGGGTCACTTGAATTTTCCTTCGCCAAGAAAGAACGCGATGAACGATAACCACGGAGGTGTCACGACCAAAATCGAAAATGGCAGCGGGAAACCGATCAGTAATGCAAGGCCGTACATGAGGCCGACGGTGAGTGCCGACGCTAGAGCCTCGAGTGGATAAGTGCGCGCTTGAGCGGATACGGGAGAATAGGCACGCTGTACCGGAACTGCTCGGTGGCAAGGAAGGTGACGACTACGAAGGTGTCGTACTCTCGAATCCAAAATGAATTGTTCGCTTGTAGTCCCTCGGATGGATTGGTGAGTGGTAGCGCATCAATGACAACTGTCACGAGTAAACAAGGCAGTGGAGAGAGCAGAATCACAGCCATAACGTGAAACCAGCTTGTTCACGCGTATACTGAGCGAGGTCAATGACTCGTTCCGACGAGTAGCATCCATTCAACTCCACTTGCGTAGATTCCCATGTCTTGATTAGCCTTTGATGAAAGCTAGGCATGACGAGTAGTCTGCCGCTACTGAAACGCTGGTAATGCCAGAATGAGATGCAGTAGGGTTTTCTCGTCAAAAATACTTACTTGAGCCCGACACAGCATACTTACGCAAGCACTACAATTATAGTAATTTATTTTTGGTACATTGGAGTCCCTAAGTCACGTAGGTAACCTAACGACCTCCTACGGCCATATAATACTTCATCTCTCGTTCACTTCGTCGAAGTACTTCAACTGTATTTTTTGCGTTAATACTACTTAACATCTTACAAATTTTGTGATGTTACCTAGTTGCAGCTAACGATCAGATTGAAGAGGAGAATATGAACAAACTAGATGTAAATGACGCCTTTCCGACGCTGTACGATTGGAAAACCTTTTTGGACTCAAGAATCTGGTCATGGCAGCAACTGAATTCTCCGAAGAAATCTTGTTGTCGAGCATGTAAAAGTGGGACGCGAACTACTTTAACTCTCACATCCTACGCTTGAATGGTTCTTGTGCTGACCCAGTTACATCATGTCAAGGCAGCAGCGCTCCTCCAGGGTGGTGTTGACTTGGCCACTTCCGTCAGCAAGAGTAGAGTTGAACTGATCTCTTTCGTCAGCTAAAGCAAAGGGAGGAAGCTCATCCGCGTTGATATCCACCGCGTTAATCCCTCCGATGACGAGAAGAAGAGCAGCAAAGAAGGCGAACTTAGTCATTGCTGGTGTTGGAACTGTCGATTATAGGTTGCTTGAGCTTGGCGAAGCAAATTGATGAGTGAGGAGTGAGTGCAGCACTCAGGGGCCTAATGAGAGTGGCTGGTGCAATCTTTTGAGGTACTCAACTAACTACCTCGCGTGGTACCAGTCTCGACATTGTCAGTGTCAATGGCATGGTGAACACCAATGCAATGGTTAGATGCCAGCTCAATACAACCCAAAATGTTAGACGGAGAGTGGCCCAAGAATTAGGAACGTCGAGGTTGCCAAATAAAAGCATTGGAAGTAGTATTTCTTCTGAATCTATGATACGTTCTTTACTTCGAAACTATGGATATCTAGAAACGAGTTGTATTACTTGCGTCAGCCATGGAATCTTCGTGCAGCCACGCAAACTTAAAAGTGTAGTCAAAACCTGGTGTAAGACAGATTCTTGATCAGTCTGGGTTGAAAGAGAGCAAAAATATAACAAAATTCATACCATGGTGTTGTAGCGACGCCTGAACGTTATAGAAGACCCAGAAACATATCTTGGTTTGTACACCGGGCCACTGTTTCTCCATGACAAACGCAAGTTGATGTATCGCCGAAAACCGAAGTCGGTACTGGAGTAAGGAGCATAGGAGGCCAAGTGCCAGGATCTTGAGTGCACAGTTAAACATGACGTTTTTCAGCGCCTGGTCCAGTTCATGTTCGGTGAGATCAGCAAGTTGGGCGTAGTAAGTGCGGTTGGGTAATCTGTACATGAGGCCCATGTAGATTGCTGTCCACATCAGCGTAATATGAGAATAAACAATCAAACACAAGACAGGTTGTGAACTTACAGAAGACCAGCGGAATGAAAACACCGACGTAGTTGATCAGAACGAGGAACTCAGTCAGGTACAGAAGTCTCCGCACCTCGAGAACATATTGGAGTGAGGTCGCAGTTATCTCCTTTACGCCACGAGCAGTATGTTTCTCCGCTTCTTCAGGAGTTGGTTGGATACGGGCTCCACTGTAAGGTTTAATTGTACCGCGCTCTTCGAATTTGAAGGTTTTCTCGATGCTATCGGACTTCAACAGTTCCTTCCCCTCCCCTCCTTTTTCAGCTTGAGATATTTTATCTCTCTGGGTTATTGACGAACGTACTGAAACGGTTTTAACCTTTGACTCTTGCAATGCGTCTCGCTGCTCTAATAACATTTTTTCCGCGCGTTCCAAACAAGTTAAAACATGGGCGCCAACACTGGATTTGGGAGTCGCTATGCTTGGGTCGTTGTAGACATCTTCATGGGCGAGTTGCCTCCCCACCTTATCCATCCGATGCACAGCATCATTCACATCTCGGAGGGACATTCCAAGCTGTAACAGAAGCGCCGCCGTCACCATTAACGTCGTCCCGAATGAGGGTGAATTCTGCATACAGTACGATACAAACAACGCGTTGAACACTTCCGAGTTGAACACAACCACCTCCGGCATCTCGTCACTCAAGTGAACTACTGTCAGCGTGAAGATGTTCCGCATGATTAACTTGATCACTGGTAACAACGACGCGAAAAACATTTGGCCTGTCTTGGATAACGTCGTGAATACGTAATAATACGGAGGGTACGTCACCACCAGTAGCACCTCGACTAACCACACTTTGATCGTATTGAACACCATTGTTCCTGTTTCCGGGTTCTGTTGAATAAGTCTCAACCACTCGATGGCCATGGATATCGTGATAATAACTACCCACGCCGGCATTGCAATGACGATCGAGAAGGGTACGGGAAAGCCGATCCACAGTGCTAAGCCATGAAGAACTGCGACGGTCAGACCAGCCACCACTATCGTGTTTCTCCACACGCGCCAGTTCGGGTACGGTAGTGCCCGCACACTGGTACGGAACTGCTGCGCGCAGAGGAAACTCATGACGACGTAGCTGTAGTACTGACGAATTTGGAACATCTTGTTAGCCTTTATACCTCCGGATGGTCCATCCAGAGGTATCACATCACTGAGCACTGTAATGACCAAGCATGGTAGCGGGGAGACGAGCAGCACCGTGATGATGTGTGGCCAACTTGTTTCGCGTGTGTATTTCGCCAAGGCGAGCATTCGATCCGTGGAGTAGCTCCCATGAAGCTCTACTTGAGTACGTTCCCACGCCTTCATGAAGCGTTGTTGTGGACTGGGCATCGCAAAGCTGATCTCGACGCCTCTAATCTTTTTGCACTGAGGTAGGAGACAACAACTAGTATGGACATGCTCGAGCAC